AAATGTAGCTGTTATATATAAATAAGCGAGGTTCTTGCTGGGATTTATCTTGTCGGCGGTAAAATACGCGCTGCGAACCTGCCTTACTTGCTCAGCGCCTCTTTGTTCATCTGAGTAAAGCAAGGGGCCTTTACCACTATACTATCACTTTTTGATTCAGATTTGTAGCGCACGCGCACAACTATAATATAATACACAAACCTTTTTATCTTTTTGCGCTTGTCTTGGTTTCGTTATTTGAAACCCAAGTTTTTTTTTTTTTTTTTTTCTCTTTCCCACCCATTTTCCGCAAACTTTCTACTATCACTTTTCCTTCGTACTGTAACCATATTAATTCTACGATTTCTACCCAAAAAAGACGTCTTCTAGCAACTGGTTTGTTCAGAAGTACTACATACATACCTTCGTGTTCTCCTTTTCCACCTAATATTGGTTTACCACCACTCCCGCTCCCATTCCTGTTCACCGTCTCCACTATCGGCTCCAACATGGTTCTGGCACCCAGAAAGCCATCGGTAGGCCTGCTCCTACCGCCGGTCCTCATCACATTCGTGGCCTTCGTCCTGGCCATGATAGCGCTCCTGGCTGGAACCGGACCGCAGCAAGAAAGTCTCGAACCCTATCATATTATCGCGGTACGTTCGATGGTTGGGAACCTCCGAGTAGGGGAAAAGCTCATAGCGCGCTGACCAGATTCTTCCTAGGTCAACTTGTCTGCCTTTGGTCATGACCTTGTACCGACGCCATCATCATCCAATCACAAACCGTCCAAGACGGGTGATAGTAACCCGCTCGACCAGCTAGTAGACGGCATTCGCGGCATGGGTCAAGATGCTAGCGAGGGCATCGACAACCTCACGGATGGAGCTGCCGACAAGATCGTCGGGGACCTTGGTATCTCTCAATGGTACAGCCTGCATATCATGACGGTCTGTGAGGGCATGTTCTCGCCGAACGCATCCGACTCGAACGCCGGGTATAACATGACCAGTTGCACGGCGCAACAACCAGGTGGTATGTAATAATCTCCTTTCAGACACCGTTTGCCTCTTCCAGTTTATTGTATGATACTGACGCCGATCTCCAGTCAGACTGAATCTCAGTAGCATTCTCGACCACGAGGTTCAAGCAGGGCCGTTCAGCGCCAACCTCAACCAGATTCCGATCCCCGACTCAGTACAGAGTGCCGTCGATACCGTCAACGATGCGCTTCTCACCCTGTTAGTTTTCTACGCGATGGCCAGCGGTCTCGCCGGGTTGTCCTTCCTGGTTAGCCTAGCGGTCCTAGTTCTGCGTCGGGAAAAGGTCAACCAGCTGATCGTCTGGGTCAACGTCGTCATCGCGGGTCTCGATACGTTTGTGCTCCTGATCAGTAGTGCGATTATCACCTACGTCAATAACAAGGGTGTCCCAGAGATCAACAAAGCCGGCAAAGACGCGGGAATCTCCGGGATTCGGGGGTCCAAGTTGATCACCCTTTCCTGGGTTACGTTCGGCCTCATGCTCTTCACCTCGCTTTATTGGGCCGTGGCAACCCTCAAGTATACTCAGAGATGGGTCATCATAGATGGGCGTTCTAGTGATCGTGACGAGAAGACATTGCCCTTTACGTACGAATAGTTCTCTCCTACTGATCGGGCCGGCAACGTGAGGCTGTTTCATTCGTTCCTTCGACGCACTTCCGTGTCCATGCCGGGATTGCTCTGGGTTACGAGGCGGCTGTGAACAACGCCATTCATAACCATACTGATATTCTAGGAACCATCTAATTGGCGTCGTCGATATTTGTTTGAGTTGGCACGATACCTCCTATAGATCGATGGGTTTGCATGAAAAGGTCGGCAGGCCCACCTGTTGCTCTGTACTTTCCGGCCGTAAACTCCTTTTTGGGGGCTAGAATGGAAATAGTCAGTAGCTATTGATTGTAATATACGATGATACAACAAATCTTGTCTCTCGCTGACTTGCTTGATGTAAACCAAACTTACCTAGGTAGGGAGAGGTCATTCCACAGGCTCATAATGAAAGCAGGCGTAACTTGTCATCTCCCCCACTCAAGGAATCCACTGCTTACCTGACCGCTTCTGAGTTCCCTATCACGTTCGCTGCCTGGCTGTGTCCGACATCTATATTTCTTTTTGGCTTCCAGCGGTTAACGGGCCCCTATCTTCTCCATTCACAAAGTTCGTTTTGACCAAGACGCGGTCTTACAAGTGACAACGCCGACAAGTCTGTTTCATTGTTGGATTCCTTTGTGCCTCACTCGGACACTTCGTCTAGCGACTTTGGTTAACATGATGCCTATTCTCTATGGCTCATCAGTCTCCGCTACCGCCGCTGAGCAGGAGGAGCGGAGCTTGCTCGAACAAAGTGAGCAGCAAGCAAAGCGCGTAGTCGCGAGTTTCGTCGACTTTGCGTTCTCGGGCAATATTCTCGAGATCGCATTCGGTCTGATGTCAGTTCTCTCCTTCAGCTCATGCCAGATCTCAGTCTCTTCACGCAACGCAGAGCGTATGGGAGAATGCGTCATGGTCCGTGACCTACCAGACGAGTCACATCAAATATATCACAAGCTGAATGATCATTTGCTGACCGTGGCGCTGACCGAACAGCCTAGCCAACGCCTTCACGGCCGTCACGAATTCCTTCGTGAACGACATTCTCCTCCCGCCTTTGTCCGTGCTTATCCCTCTCAATCGCAACATGGACGAGAAGTTCCTCGTCCTGCGACCGGGGCCCGGGTATAAGGAGCAAGGCGGATACAACACGATCAACCTGGCAAAGGAGGACGGTGCCGTAGTTTTGGCCTATGGGTACGTGTGTCCTAGTCATCGCGGCACGAGCCAAGTCGCGTCTCGAATACATTCGTTTTCTTATTTGGTTCTGGCCTCTGGCTCTAGCGGATTCATACGTAACGTCGTCAGCTTCCTCTGCCTCGGATTGATGCTCTATGCGCTGGCCTCCTTCTACCAGTGCTTTTCGAAGGACAACATCATCAAGCACACGGTGAAGTGCCGCTATTGCAAGAAAAGGATCAGCGATAAGGTGGGTGGGTTCTGCCCAGGGTATCGGATCACGGATGGTGGATGGGATCGCTGACTCGCTCAGGCTATTCGTTGCGTCAATTGTACCAGTTGGCTCGATGGTCGCGAAGAGCGCATGCGCTGAGCATTGCGCTGAGAGTCGACTAGACTGCCTAGCTTCAGGCGTCTTTCTCATACCTATACGTACGCACGCGCGCCCGTGACCGTACACTTCAATCAAGTGTGTCTACCTAGGTAACTGTTCCCATCACTTAAGTCAAAAGTTTTCGATGGGCATGATATTGGAAAGCTCATTGATAGACTTATACATTGTCCACACGTATAATGGAATGATGTCAGAAAAGGAAGGCATCTCAATGTTGTTTTTACAGACGTCGGTAGGATTGCTTGAAGGCAAAATGATGGGAATGAGGGAGGAAATGATGGGCAACGTTTCCTTTACCACACTAAAATTGAGATAGGCGGGCGCGGCGCCGACCTATCTATCCCTTTATTTGCATGATACCTCTATACGGATTACCTACTCAATGCCCGGTTAAACTTACCTATCTACTAACTCTAACTACCTAGATATAATGAGCAGTAGGAGTATATTCGTCTACACGTGTCTTGTACCACCGGCGCGGCTCGCCGGACTGTTTGCCAAGTCCGATTTCCGACTTGAATTTTGCCGGCTGAAAATCCGCGAGCCGTTAGTAGCCGAGTTAGGCTGGATGAGCAGGCTTGATGATTCCTATGTTTTCTTTCTCAAAAGGTCTGGACTGGTAAGTTGTAGATAGGTATCTAACTCTTCAAGTTCAGGGGTAACCAGGTAAGCTACAATGTAGGTACGGAAGTATATTTATCAGTGGTGGGAATGCCTAGGCACGCACCTGTCATTGCCAGATGGGTAGCGGGGTATTCGCGGGGTACCTAAGCTATAACATTATAAGTAGATAATACCGGTCTACCTAGGTAGGTAGGTAGGATTAGATAGACTGTATTATCCACGACAAAGGGACCGGACAACAGCTTGGTACCGTGAACGCGTGCCAAAGACCGGTTGATCCCTCCACAGAGGTATGTAGTGTATAGATAGGTGAACCTGTATCTAACCAGCGCTGTATCTAGGAAGTGCCTGTCTGGTATGGTTCTCAAAGGGAATGGTTGTCGGGAATGGGATTCATCAGTATTGTATTCGTAATACAGATCAAGTGCTTTTGAACCCTGAAGAATACCTCAACCCTCGATAAGAAACAGCGCTGCAAAATTTGACGTACGTACGTATTTTTATCTTGACAGTCACCTCATGCTAGCTCTTTACATAGGTACAGCACTTTCTCCCTCAACTCTGGAGTAGTTTAGGTAGTGTGGGTAGGTAGTGTGGGTACCTAAGGTAGGTACCCAAGGTAGGTAAGTTAGCATGCAAACCGGACTGTTTTTCTTATTTAGTAGGCGGTACGGACTAGATAAGTACTAGGTAGCCGGTCGGCAGTCACGAATTCGCTAATAGGTTAGTCACCTACGTCATACCGTGAAGTGATCAGCTCGGGGATTGGAAAGCGGTTCACGACGATTGGCGTTTTGTCCGCGTCCGTTGCACTGAATACCACGTGCGCGGAATATGTTATAACGATGGGGAAGTAACTAGGTAACCAACTGCCTACTCGCTCATAAACACAGAGTTGAGAGGAGAAACCTCTCGAAACTCTTCCACAAATCCTCTTATCTTTTTATCCTCTCAAGGAGGCATCTGTTCACACTGTATCTGTACAGACTGTACTGTGTAATAAATACTAAAGACAGCGGAATTGGGGAATTCCGGATCGACTGAGGGCCGGATGCCGCCCCCGAGCCCCACCAGACGGTCTTTAGTCTGTTGCGCCGAGTCATTCCTCCCTTCCCGTCTAACCAAAAACAACCATCATACGTAAGCAAAAGCGAAGAGGGGCCCAAAAAAAAAGAGATAAAATGATTCGACCAGGGCCTGATTCGAACAGACGCTCCCGAAGGAAGTAGATCGCTTTGAAGCTTATTAATCCTCCAATGGATTCGAGTCTACCGCGTTAACCACTCCGCCACCTGGCCTTTGTTGTGTGAATGATATCCCGTCCGCCATCATCCTATCTACGGCGGTCACTCTTCCTAAGATTGGTTGTCGCCATTCTCTTCTGCAGTCTATACCGAACCACCAATTGACAATACTAGACAATACTGGGAACTTCTTCGACTCCACCGCCGGCAAGACATGCGGCCCAGGTGGCAAGAGGTATAATTACATCTTACGAGTTACGATTCCTCTACATTAATCGTACGGACGATGTGTTTTCCCAAAACTGCTCAGTGGCTCACTCAGTTGGTCCTGCCAGCCAAAAGCCACGAAGTGAAGCTAACGTCGATGAATCTGATTCTGACTTCGTCACGTCGAAAGCTAGAGCTCGACGACCTCTTTTTAGAGTTGCATCTATTCAGAGGACCTCTACATACGAGCGCCTGAGCTTGATTATACCTTCATTACCAATCCCGACTTCCTTACTAGCGCGAGGCTTTAGCTAGGTACGGTGGCAGAAGACTACAGAAGACTAGGAGATATCATGTATCGGGTCGGGTAGAGACACACGCCATGACATCACGGCAGAGGTGGCCCCCAATTGCCATCGAAGTTTGTTTTGTTTTCCAAGCCTGAATCCCCAACGGCCAGAACAGGAGCAACACCGCCGGAAATGAAACGGGTTAGAACGCTCAATCCACTTGCCTCTCTTCGTCCATACTAAAAGCCCCCAATCTATCTAGGCACAACTCGTGGAGGCACCCCTGACTGTCCTCGACCGTCCTCGACTGTCCTCGACTGCCCTCTCGACTGCCTGCCACCTGAAAATGACTGTTGGGACAAAAGTCCCAGGGTTCAGTGACGCAATCAGCAGCCTGGAAATAGTGCTCGTCAAACCGGCCCGAGCTATTAGCATGAGTTGTCTATTGTCCAGGACTCCAGGGTCTACCTGAGTAGACGCGTGGGGTGCCGGGTAGCTAAACAGGAAAAGAGCTGTTTTATACCTTCGTCATCAACCTCCTTCGATGGAAGAAGGTAGGTGGGTAGTTAACCCCGTCATCTGCCCCCTTGATGAATGACTTGTCTCCGTCTTCTTCAAGCGGAAACGATTTTCACTAGGGGGCGCCCGTGTAAATTCAAACCGGCCTGCTGTTGGACACTTTCGGTCAAAGTTGCCTGTGGACTATAGCTCAGTGTTCCAGCTTTGGGACCACGCGTTGACTCTTCTTCCCATATCAACTTTTTTGGTAACTTGATAATGGGCATATAATCAGTGCCGGTAAAGACCTCAAATGATACACATACACACACATACACACATACAGTTTCTAGCCGAAGTCCAACAACTAATTCAACGCCTAGCCAGAACTTTGAATGGCCGCTCCCTTCTTCAACTCCCACGTCATGAATCAAGCGGTAGTCATCAGCCAAAGACCTGAGAATGACCCTCGGGGCCTGAACTTCTCACTTCTCAACAGCCCCTTTGATCGCGCGGGAACGTCGGTGATAGAGGTCCCCTGGGCTCATACCTTCGAAAATCTGGGCTACAGTCCGAGGCGAAATGTGCGAAACCTCGGCAAGAAGCCAGTATGCGTCAGCTCTACGAACAGTGACAAAATTTATGCCCCAGCACCTGAGGTGAGTTTTTCCTTTTTCTTTTCTTCTTCATCTTCTTCTTCAACTTTCTCTCTCTATAAAAAAAAGAAAAGAAAAAAAGAAAGAGGAAATTCCTACTTGTATTAGTTAAAAGAGGGAGCGAGAGGGAGCGAGAGGGCGAGAGAGCGAGAGATAGACCCGAACTCCCGGACCCGTCTGCTGATTATTTTCATCAGGAATTCACCCTCGGACTTGAGCTGGGCGTTCAAACAGAGGAGGGCGCCCTGGTCGCCGCCCAGGGACGACACATCGGGCAATCGCTCGAGCAAGTGCACGGACTAAGTATGCCGGGCGTCATCCCGGACATGCAATATCCAAGCCCTGAAGCCTATCTAGAGAGCCAGGAGCCCACATTCGGCGGCGGTCAGGGGCAGGGTCAGGGTCAGGCGTTGGCGGGGTCGGGGTCGGTGGGCATGGAGGAGAGCGTTGAGAGGCCGGAGGTCAAGCAGCACCGAGAGAGAAATCGGGTAGCCGCCAGGAAGTGCCGGCAGAAGGCGAAGAAGAACGTCGCGGATCTGCAGCGACGTGAGAGGGACCTGGGCCGACGGAATCGGATGTTGCTCGGCTGCGTGAGTAGCCTGCGGGAGGAGATACTCGTGCTGAAGAATGAAATCCTGCGACATTCGGATTGCAATAGCAACGTTATTCAAAATTACATAGCCAATGCGGCCCGTCGCCAATTGGGTTGAGCCAAGTGCTGGGGAAGTCCGTTCGGCGTATAATCTGTATATAATTCTTGTCCTTTTTTCTTCATCTTCGTCACTCGTCTTCGCCTTCTTCTCCTTCTCCTTCTACTTCCTCAAAACAAAAAAATTAATGATGTTTGGTTCAACTCTTTGTGAATCTTCTACGGCGACGGCGTGAATCAACCCGAGAGTCCGATGATATGTCGCGCCCCGCGTATGAGACTCGGACCTCGAAGGAGTGCTGGCAATGTGCTTGGGGGCTCGCGTGTTATGATATAAATGCTCCGGTGGCCAAGCGGGGAATGATACAGACCGACGACACCCGGGAGTTTCGCGTGCTTGGTCCGGCCAACCTGATAAATTCCAATCATGATTCTATAATGTCTATATGGTCTGCTGATCGTCTACAACTACCGAGCAAGGACCGCGGAGTCAGCGCGGAACCTGATGACTGACTAGTAATGGTGAGCTTGAGATGAGTGAACGATTACCACAATTCTTGACCGTTTATCTAACAGTCGCCTCTAGTGTTGCCCCTCACGGCAGATCATTCGTCACGTTGAGAACAAATTATGACAACGACATGACCAGTGGGCCGGCATATATCCATTGATTCCATATTAGGAATATGGTATTTCTAACACGACGAGTATTCACGATAATGCTTATTGATTTAAATCCGGGGTGGCTTTTTTGCTGCAACGGAGATTCTTTACCCCATTCCTATTACAGTTCTACAAAGACAGCGCTGTGGCCGTAGCAACTGCAAGATGCACTCCGATTAGACCGTCTGACTTTGATATTATATGCCGATCACTTCGTGGTCCTCCTAAGCTCTGGCCCCTTCCTCAGAGGGGAGCTACATGGGCTCGGACGGTAGGGCAGGGTAGGTAGGGGGAAAGCAGTCAAGAGGGTGGTAGTCACCGGTATACGACATGTCTTTTTCATAACTTGATTATATGGGTAGCGGTCGCATACAGACTTACAAGAAGGTGGTGAGAGTTGAAAGTATGGTTTGGCGCCACAGGACGCGAAAGCCGATGAAGTCAGAGGAAGCACTCTCTAATTACCTGTTGCATTGATGGCGCTGCCTACCTGATCATTTCTTAAGATCCCTAAGGAAGATCTACTTAGTAGGCATCTCATTATCCTAAGTTAGGATAATGAGATTATATCTGTCGGTATATTCAGCCTTCAGGACCTGAGGACATCGTTTTTGTCCCGTAAATAAATAAAATCGTGGCCGAGCCCTGAACAGAGCCGGAAGTCACTCAACAACGCCAACCCCTCCTCTACCTTTGAATACGAAGACAGACAGAGTAAGTCCATGTGCATAGCTCTGCCTATCTAGATGTCTGCTGGATATCTAAATCCACTGCCCTCATCACAGGATGTCAACGGATTATAAGACTACTTACTTCCACGACTCCACCCTCTTCCCCAGGGAATTGAGCAATAACATAGCATACCGCAAACCTCCCCTCTCTCCATCGTGGATATTAGCTTCCTCAAGCTTGAGCCTCCGCAGTGACGGCCTATGAGAGCGGGGTATTGTAAGCTCAAGTCATCCATGAGCCAGCTCCGAATTACATTACTCATTTCTAGGGCGCAAGCTCCTGCTTTTGCGGAGCGATGAAACGGATCAATCGACACCGGGTATGGGTCTAGGGAGAGGAGGGGTCGGTCCATGACTCAATCTTCAACATTGGTCAGAAAGTTGAAAGTTCAAAGCGCCGAGCCCTTATTCGTACCTATCTATCTAGTCCTATAAGCTAGCAAAGCTCGGTCTAGATATTAAGTAGCTGATAGTGATGCCTAGATAGATAGATAGATACTGTATATGGCACACACGCTAGGGTTCTTCCCCGTCCCGACCGTTTCCGGTCTTTTTGCTCGTTTTTTTGGCGTCTTTTGAGCAAGACTGGAAAACTACTGCTGCCATCAGTTTTCGTGATATATATATATATATATATATATACCATAGGTGGCTTGAATCTTGAGATGATGAGTAGTGTTCATTCTTTTTGAGTCAATTCCAGTCACTTCTCCTCGGAGTCTTCGCGTCGTTGTGAGCCATAATGGCTGATTGACAACGGGGGTGTTTGCGAGAGTCTAATTACGGCAAAGCTGCGGAAAGAAAAAGGTTGCATGGGAATGTCGAGACTGACGTTCATTTCTACGCCCTTGACTAGGTAGGTACCTTCAAACTCGGCAGCTGGAGGAAGATTATCGCCGTCGGGGGAAACATGAGGTGAATATCCTTCATGATTCGGTCATCCGAATATGCATTTATCCGTCTCATTCCGCGACTACGACCGCGAGGACTTTCTCGAACTTTTTGGGTTATTTTCAAGAGGAGAAATAGATCAGAGAAAAGTCAGTAGGTAAGAGAGTATCTAGCTCCGTTACGGGGAGCAAAAGGGCAAGTGCGGGCTTCTAAATCGGGCGTCCCGGCGGACACTACCGGAGAGCGGCCGGTAGCGGACATCCGGCCCCACCCGGAGTGTGGCTTGTTCATGTCCCCCTCGAATTCCGGGGGGCAATGCGGCTTGGCTGGATCCGAACGAAGCAGCAGGCCGTTAACAATACCTACTGTTGGCACAAAGCCAAGCCATGATCATCTTTTATAATAAAAGGGCATCTTGGAGTCTGTAGTAGTTAATATGTGAATGTTTTGTTCCCTTTGGATAGATAGA